CATCCTATGTATGGTCCTTACTTGATCCTAATACAAGAAGCTTGGTGAGATCCTTATTTTATTGGAAGGAATCCAGGTTTTAAGGAAGAAGAAGATGGCTGAAGGGGACAATTCAGCGAGGATTGATGCTATGGAGAAGCAGATCGAGACGATAGGTTCGACTCTCACACAACTCGTCAGTCTTATCCATGGAGGTGGCAAATAAGGTGAATCTTCTTCGAAGAAAATTGTTGAGTCCGATGTGGAGAGAGTAGATTCAGATTCCGACGAGGAAGAGGAGACCGTTAAGACTGCATTGCATCAAGGGGGTAAGAATTCTTATCAGAACCTGAAGATTGACTTCAAGGTGGAGATTCCTGTTTATGATGGGAGTGTTGATGTCGAGAGGCTTGATGACTGGATCGAGCGGATGGAGACGTATTTTACTCTTTATGGCTATTCGTCAAAAGAGAAGATTGTGTTCGCAACTTTGAAGCTTTCAGGGCACGCGTTGACGTGGTGGAAATCCTACTGCAAGCAGGAGAAGAAGGCGGTGTCGTGGAATAAGTTCAAGGAGTTACTGAGGAAGCAGTTCTACCCGGTGGGATTCCTTGAAGAGCGTTGGTACAAATGGTACGGCTTACGCCAAATGGTCAATCAAACCGTTCAAGAATACACCACGGAGTTCTAGTAGCAGGCGATGATCCTCAACATTGCGACAGAGGAATATTTTGTGTTTATGAAGTATATGGCGGGATTGAGCGATTATATCCGGAAGGAGATGAAGTTATTCACGGTTGAGACTATTATAGAGGCGAGCGTGAAGGCCATTGCCATCGAGGACAAGCAAAAAAAGGACAACGAGGCTAAGGGAGACTCCAAACAGACGAAAGGAGAGTCTAGTGGTTCTCAATCTAAGGAGGAGAAGAAGAAGGGTGATCCAGGGAAGGCAGGGCTGATTTGTAGTCACTGCGAGAAGACAGGGCACGAAGCTGATCGGTGCTGGGAGAAGTATCCTCGTCTCAAGCTAAGAGGGTTGAAGAAGAAGGAGGAGAAAAAGACATACATGATAGCTCAAGGTCCGAAAGAAGTCATGGGGATGACAAATCCCAACAGCAGTCTCAACCTTATGGCGGAGAAGCAGACTACGAAAGAGGACGACGACCCGAGAGAACAACTCTTTGTTCTTAAGTTGCAAGTGAAGACCAGTTTAGTTGATGCTATTGTTGATTCGGGCAGCGAGAAGAATTTGATATCCGAGGCATTGGTTCAGAAGCTGGGTCTGAAGACGATCAAGCATCTAAAGCCCTATCCATCGGGGTGGATTCAGAAGGAGGAGAAACTGTGTGTACTTGATCAGTGTACTGTCAGATTTGCGCTCCACGAGTCGTATATTGATGAGGTCACATGCGACGTCGTTCCATTGGATGTTTGTCAGATTATACTGGGTAATCCGTACTTATGGGATAGACATGCGATCTACGAGAGGCGGGCTCAGAAGTACACCTTCACTAAGGATGGTGTAAGGTTCATATTTCGTTCGGCATCTCTTCCGAGGGAGACAAGCTTGGGGACGGTGACGCGAGCGAAGAGACTAGTGAATGCAAGCAAGAAGTTTGTCTCACTGTGCATTAGACTTCCAAAAAAGCCATCGACAAAGGATTACAACTTAGAGCGAGCGGTGACTACGACGAGACGCGGGACGAATGAGTTATTTCTGATCGGACGTTGAGACCGGATCCCTAGCAAGGCCAGGTGGTGCAGAAAAGATTGAGGAGTTCGAGAGTTTCCTCAGCAAAAGTTCGAACTTGAATGGGACTTCAAGTTCTTAAAGAGGGGACCCATGATGTATATCTTCTCTTCGGAACTTAGCGATCCTCATGGGAGCTTGAGGATAGATAATTCTCATGATAGCATGAGAATAAAGGTGTCAAACAGTACAAGGGAATGCAGGAGGAAGCGTGGAACGAGACGACAAGCAGAAGAATCGAAGTATCCAGTTTTCAGCCTGTGAGTCGACTCATAACAGTCATGAGTCGACTCATCAGGTTGACTCGACTCATGACTGTCATGAGTCGACTCATCACTGGTTTTTAAGTTTTGTCCAGTTTCTGACGAGTCGATTCATCTCAGTCATGAGTCGACTCATCGATGGTTTCCTGGTTCGTTTGGGTTTCTGTTCACACGAATTCCTGTTGGTTTTGGGTTTGGTTATTTACCAAATTGTCATCCACGTTTGTACACCTATATAAAGGATTGTTTTAGGGTTTCTAGACAATCAGATAGATTCAGAGAGAGATTCTAATCATTGTATTAGGGTTTAGTGAGAATTGAGAGTTTGTTCTCGATTCTAGTGAGATTGTGAGAGAGGAATTGTAATCTTTTCATACTCATAATCTAGAGAAGATATTTTCCTTCGCCCTATACTGAATTGTGCTTGTGTTTCTGTCATCCTCTTCTCAACCTACCTTTGATAATTCCGCGATCAAAGGTGCTCGCACGACAACTCGTATCAACTGGAGTATTCATAGATCATCGGGAGTCTAATGTACCTAATGAACTGCACAAGGCCAGATATTGCTTACGCTATAAGTAAACAAAGTAGGTACACTAGTAATCCCGGTAAAGATTAATAGTATGCCTTACTAAGAGTAGTAGGCTACTTGAAGAGTACCAAGAATTATGCATTGAGATATGGAAATTATCCAGCTGTACTTGAAGGGTATAGCGATACTAACTGGATTGCGGATTCCGAGGAATCGAAATCAACTAGTGGATATGTCTTTACTCTCGGAGGTGCGGCTATATCTTAGAAATCCTCGAAAAAAACATGCATAGATCACTCCACACACTAAGCATGTGTTAGTGTGTTCTAAATACTATGAGTTTATTGCATTAGATAAAGCTGGGGAAGAAGCGGAGTGTGTTTAGTGTGTTTAGTAAGATATTTGGTATGTTTTGAGACACACTCTATATATATAGACTCTAATGGTTAACTTAGGGGATTTTTATAGTTACCTACACACTAAGCATGTGTTAGTGTGTTCTAAATACTATGTGCGTGTATGTTTATTATGTGATCAAGGCTTTTAACAAAGATTCTACCCAATGAAAGAAATCCCAAAATACAGTTATATCATTGAAGCATCTTGATTTCTTTCATCTCCAATTAGCCTTGTATCAACTTCAATTGCCTTGTATTGCCTTGTGTCTTGAGTATCTCTTTGAATATCATTGTTGATTTTGCTCTGATACTACAAAACATATGTTAGCACAAAATACACACAACATATAATATTTGTTATTATGAAAACAAACATATCTTAGGGTCAAGATATCCAACAGAGTGGCTTCGACAATTCCTTGAGGATATTCCATTATGGCCTAAGCATGTGCCCGCAATATGCATTCATTGAGACAACCAAGCAGCGATTCAAAGAGCACAAAAATTTGTGTATAACGGTAAGTCTCAACATATTCATCACAGACACAACACAGTTGCTCTCAAATGGCCTTATCTCCATTGATTTTGTGGCGTCAAAAGATAACTTAGCGGATTCGTTTACTAAAGGTTTAAGTGGAGAGCGTATAAGATGTGCATCGAGGGGAATGGGGCTAAAAGCGTAACCATACTAAGTCGACTTAATGGAAACCCTACTTGGCGACTAGAGATCCCACGGACCAAGTTCAAAGGGAAAAACAGGTTATGATTGACTTGAGGAGTAAGCACTTAGGAGCTTGTCTTCATCCCATTCTTATGGTGCACCAAGTGTAGCCTACAAATGGGTTTAGGATAAGCATAAAGCTTTTAATGATGCATATAGCTTGTTTTCAAAAATAAGTGGAGTAGAGTAGGCTACTCTTTATAGGATGATCACCTATGTAAGTGTAGAGCTGAGGCCCGGCTCTTTGAGAACCTCAAATCTCTATGGAGGTTGTGATTCTCTAAAAACACTTTCTGAAACCAAGAATGTCCACTGCCAAAATGGACACAACCGAGAACCAAAGCTAATTTTGGGAAGTTGCTGTGTGAAACCTGTTGACTTGGCTTACATCTATGACTGACAGTTCAAGACCTAGTTCATTGTGGTCTAGTAAGTCCGATAACGTTTCACTATGGAAGGTTCAAGACCTAGTTCACCTATCCTGATGTGGCTACTTTCCTAAAGTGCTTTTCACTACAGATTCAATTTCGTAGTGAGTCAATTTTCATGAATCTCTATTCAAGTGAGGGATTGTTTGGGAAACTTGGATTTTTCCAAGTGAATTATTGGGCAAATTGAGCTAAACTTTTTGGTAGGTCCCACTGTCTGAAATGGATATGAGTGAGTTTGAACGCGTTCTTCATTCAAAGACAATGAATCCGGTATACACACTTGTCTAAATCGGTTTCCGAATGAATGAGATATTCAAGTCGGAAGATGGACCAAAATTAAAGTTTAATGGGCGCATCTAATCACGAAGAGTCGCAACTGTTCGGTTGAGTTGTGTCTGTTCGAACCCGAATATTCACTTCTTTTTATTCCGGATGGGTGCGTCCTTTGGTGAAGGGATGTCTTCAAAAGACACTTAGTCCCTATAAAAGGAACCCAAAATCTCATTCACAAAACACTCAACATTGAACCAAACCCAGTGTGTTTAAGAGAAATCTGAATTTTGTGTTCGTTCTTCTTCCATTCGTTTTCCTTTCCGGTCAAGTGGTGGAAGGCACAGTTAGCTTTGGTTCGCTAGTACAGCTTTGCAGAAGTGCTTCTCCGAAGCTGTAAAGGAGTGTTGTATCTTGGGAGACAGCGTCCGATCATCCTGTATGCATCATAGCAGGAGGACGTAATTTGTCTTAAGGAGATTCATCACTTGACGTACCTCACTCCAGCATTTCTAGTTCTTTCTCCCTCCTACAGAAAGTGTTTTTCCTAACAGTTCTTTTCACGAATATTTTATTCAATTTGATTTCGGTTATTGATTTAATACTGAATTATTTTGCTACGACTCTTAACAAATAAGTTTTCCAAATGTGATCAAAACAGAAGCTGTAAACCGTTTCATATATATATATATATATTACTAGTAGCGATAATGTATAAGTACATCAAATCAACCAGCTCCACAACTTTGGGCCAAGATCATACGAACGTGTCCCCGAGGCCCACATATACAAACCCAAGAAAATACCCCAGAAGAACCCAATACACATAAACCAAAGAAAAGTTAAGGCCAAATAAAGCCAAACACGTACGCCAACACGCCACCTTTAAATCTCCATCAGCCTTTCGAATGTGGCCATAGCAGAGGCCGGGAGCCCAAGAAGCACGTTGATGCTCCTCCTCTCTTTCCCGTGAGACAAGAACAGGATCACCTCTTTTTCCGGCAGGGCCACCGGCCCGGACTGCGACGGCTCGCCCCACCCGAAGTCCGTCGTGTGGAACGATAATTTCGACCAGGTCGTGATCAAAAGAGTCGCGGCGAGAGACGGCCTGGCCCGAGTCACCTCGAAGTAGTCCACGGCGGACCTCATGTACTTGTCGGTCACCATCCGGACCGCTTCCTGGACCCGTTGCACCGAAAAGCCTAGCGGGCTGTCCAAGAGCTCGCCCGATCCGCACAGCGCGTTGGTGAGCACGATGCCGTTGCCAAAGTAGCCCTTCGGGAGCTTGGGCTCGAATCGGGGCCTCCCATCCACCGCGAAAAGGAGCTTGGTTTGTTGCTCGGGCCTGAGGTTCAAGGCCCGGTGCGGGCCCGCCACACGAAACCAGACAGTGCCTCAAAAGTCGTGCAGCTTGAAATCGTGCCTGTCAAAAGAAGAAGAAGAAAAAGAAAAACTTTTTCATCATCATCGTTAATTGTTGTCATCGCCGCCAATGTAGTAGCGAGTAAAGTCACGAGGAAGTAAAATGCTACGTTTGACGTTACCATCTTCGACGGCCATTTTCTTGAGCTGGCTCAGCTTCTCTGGGTCGAAGCAGAAGGAGCGATAGAGCATCTCCTCCTGGTACAGCGCGGCTGTGTTGGAGATGTCGTCGATCTGGGCGAACTCATGATGCGGGAACTCGATGGACGGGGGGGATCGACATCTGAGGATTGTGCGGTCGATGAAGGGCGGGATGGCGAGGGGGAGACCCCTGGCGGTTTCGCCCCACGAGTTGACGAACTCCATGGCGCCGAGACCGTCGAACATGCAGTGGTTCATGGCTAGGCCGAGGATGAAGCTTCCGCACCTGAATTTGGTGACCTGATCAAAAGAGATATTTTTTTGTTTAGACCCTTGGTCTAAGTTGTATTATGTTTGGAGGACAAATTTTCAAAACCAACCTATTTACAAATTTAATCTCAGAAAACAACCCATTTCAAATTTAATTGCAAAAACCGACCTGGTTTCAGCCCTGGAGCTGAAACCAGGTCGGTTTTTGAAAATTTTTATCCGAAACTTCACGGGAGTTGAACTCCCGTGAAGTTTCGTAGTTTAAAATATTTTTTTTTGCACTGGGAAACTTCACGGGAGTTCAACTCCCGTGAAGTTTCGAAAGTTTTTTCACAAAAACCGACCTGGTTTCAGCGCCAAGGCTGAAACCAGGTCGGTTTTTGCAATTAAATTTGAAATGGGTTGTTTTCTGCGATTAAATTTGTGCCAAGGCTGAAACCAGGTCGGTTTTTGCAATTAAATTTGAAATGGGTTGTTTTCTGCGATTAAATTTGTTAATAGGTTGGTTTTGAAAATTTGTCCTATGTTTGGAGGAACGGATTGGTTGTGAAATTGACAAGGCAGTTTAAAAGGATGTTAGTTTGGAGGGAATTTGGATACTTTCCACTGAAAAAAAAAAGTAAGGAGAGACAGCTACTTTTAATAGCAACAGGTTGTGATTTTTATGGTAAAAACTGTATAGAAAATTGTTTGGATTGAATAGCAACGGGTTGCTGTTAACCACTAATAGTACATTTAAAATTCCTAAACTGCCCCTATCTTTCCGGCCATGAAAACACCAACTAATCAACGCACCAGAAACAACCAACATAAAGGCCAGAGTCAAACCTGAGCAACAAGAGGAGGGATCTCCAAAATATTCTTAGCCCCCGGCACAGTGTAAACAAGCTTTCCTAGCATCACAGGATCAGGCTTAGTAATGTCTCCGATCTCCTCCATCACCCCCTCACACTCAGCCTCCACGAACACAGCCCCCTCACCGGTACAGTCCACTATCAACTTCCCTTCACTGCTTATAGTGAGCCTACCAGCCAACGGGTAATAATGCACCAAAACTTTAGCCAACGCTTCCTTCATAACCTCAGCCGCGCCCTCGTTGCCTTTGTCCTCAGCTCTGAAGCAGTAGATGGTTTGAACTATGACGGCAATGTTTTGGTCAAGGTTGGAGAGGTAGTAGAGGCCCTTTGGGGTCTCTTCAGCCGGGGGGATGAGCGCCCTCCCCTTGCTTGATGTTGAGTGTGGGTGCATTGTTGTTGTTGTTGGTGGTGGTGGTGGTGTCTACTGCGACCTGTAATTTTGATTTGGGTGACGATCAAAATAGGGTAGCAAACTATATATATATATATAGATGGTTCCTTCTCAAGCAGTTGAAAATATTCGATGCAAACCAAGTACTAAATCAGATCAATCGGGAGAAAATAATCGCAATCATCAACTAATTCATAATTGATTATTAGAGGTATTCTGAAATGGACAATCTCATCAAAATAGGTAAAAAAAAAAAAGATCATCATCGATTTTAAATCAGCGTAAACATTTCAAACATTAATAAACCGACACAATCAATTCAATACGTAAATCAATGCAAGATGTGCTTTAAATTGGGTACTGGTAACCAAAATAAGGAAAAAGTGTTTCTAGAGAAGACAATCTCTATGAATATTTTCTCTTCAACATACCATTTTGTGAAGATTCTAAGTGCTGTGATGAGAGGAGATGAGAGAGGAAGGAGGGCTAATTGTGTTGGGAATCGAAGGAGTTCGGATATATTTATATATATATATAGAGAGAGAGAGAGAGAGAGTCTAAAAAGGATGTTTACCTACTAATAGCAAGTATGGAATTATAACAAGGGATTTCGGTGATTGGAGTTGAATTGCAATTGAATAAAATAGTTAGATTAGAGTTCCTAAGGCACCCAACTTTGCACGCTTAAAAGTGGGCCCGTGTGTCAGTAGATTAGTTGGGTGTTGGATTTGGGTGGCGAGGTTTTGTTGAGAAAGCCTTGTGTGTTATTTGGGTGGGGGTTGGCTACTAGCTCCTGAGCTAAACATTACCGGTCAAAGATTTTTCTTGGAGTATCGTGTAATTAGTAGGTAAGGTTGGCCTCCAAATATCTCACTTGCTCTAAAAAATAATCAAATGATTGCTGTTCATGAGACTATTTATGGTCGTCAGCATTAGTACGGACTGAACGAAAGATAGTTGTCAGTCGTCACACCGTGAAGGGAATACTTGTCATGGCTCGAACCCGTGAGAAGATAAATTTCCACTGTTTTGTATTTGTCTTGTTTAGGCGTTTTATCTGTAACCGGAGTAGGAGAGCGTCCGATAGGAGAGTCTAACTACTGCAATTCTATTCTTCTATTGCAATCTCAATACCTGAGATGAAGTCACGTAAGACTCTTAAGTATCATCTTACGAATCACTATTTTGTTTTTTAAAATTACTATTGTGAAAATTGATATTGAGATAATGCAAATCCAAAGTGGCTTCATCTCAGTCGTCAGAACTAGAATGAAGGGATAAATTTAGAGTAATTGGACACTCTCCAATTACCACCTAATTAAAGATAATCTAAATCCATATAAACCGCTAAAAATTACTCTGTTTACAGAAATACACTCGAAACCTCACCATTTATTAATTTGCTCAGCAATTTCTCAATATTCAAAGGGTAAATAATAAACCCTCAATAAGTTTCGGCCCTTTGCAGTAAACCCCAAAAAATTCAAAGCTCTCACTAAACCTCAATAAATTTGGGAATTTCAAAAATCTCCAAAATATTTTGATCTTTTTCACTTAACCCCCATAACAGAGTTAATCCATAATTTCACATGGACAAAATACCCCTAGATCAGAAAGGTAAAACACACACACACACACACACACAAATATATATATATATATATATATATATAGAGAGAGAGAGAGAGAGAGAGAGAGAAACGTATGTCAACTTAAGTGGACATCCACTAAGTTTCTTAGTCATTGATGATTACTTGATTAAGCTACATTGTGGATGATCCGCTACATTGAACTTGATCTACATATTCTAAAACCCCAATGTTAGAGCCTAGAGGGGGGGTGATTAGGATCTTATGCTAATCTAATCCGATTTTATGCCAATTAAAACTTATATTAATAAATTATTCTTCTTGCAAGATATAAATACAATATGTTATAAGCAAGAATAAGCAATATGAACAAATGAATATATCCTAGCAATGAGATATACTATGAAATATATGGAAGGATATATAAACTAACACAAGGGTGAAATGAACAATCTACAAATGTGATAGGGCAATTGACAATTGCGACAAGAATAACATTTACACTATCACAACCGGGTTTTCTACACTCACCCGAATAACATTTACACCTCATAATTTTATTCATGGAGTTCGGTCCCCACGACCTACGTCTCCGCTCCTCACCTCGAGGATATCTCCACTTCACACTCGGTTTTCTAGCTAACCGAAAACTTTACAATCTCATAATATAACAAATGGTTTATTCTCTATAATAGATGAGAACTCAATGTAAGCTCACACTCAATTATTACAAATCTCACCAACCTAAATATACTGCATATGAAAATACAATAAGCTCAAGTGGGTGTGTGTAAATAATGAGTAAAATAAAATCAAACTCAATTAAAGTCTAGCAAATATAAATATGATAATATAAATGTAAACAAGATAGATAATTGAGTTGAGAAAACTTCTCTAGAACAAGAGAGATGGAGATGTGAAGTGGAAAGCTCAAACCAAAGATGATCTCCTCTTCTTGTGAAACAATCTTCACAAACTTGAAACTTTTAACCCACACTTAAACAAAATTTAAACTCTTGTAAAAACTTGTTTAAAATATCTCTTGGTTTTAGAAAATAGTTATGGCAAAGGAGTATATATAGAGAAGAAGAAAACAACCCAAAAAACCGCAAAATCCCACAAAAAAATAAAAATCAGCAAGTTATCGTTACTGTGCAACGGTAACTTCGACGGTCGACCGTGACGGTCGACCATGAAAAATAAAACTATAAAACTACTCTTTGGACTGCAGACGGTCGACCGTGGCGGTCGACCGCACTGTAGCATGGTCGACTGTAGCGGTCGACCGCACTGTTTACAAACAGTTTCTGATTTTGACAGATTCTAGAATTTTATATATCTGACTTTGTAAAATTAATTAAAAATAGTAAATCAACTCCAAAAATCATTAAATTTTGAGGGAAGGTTCCAGACATGTAGATAAACATGTTAGAGAAAGAATTTCTGAAATATCATTTCTCAATTGAGAGAAATAACTATTTGAACACAGATATACAGTTTCTAAAAAAACTGCTGAAAACTTGGTTTTGTAAATTCAATTGAAAATAACAAAACAACTCCAAAATTAGTAAAACTTGGGGAAATGTTTGTATATATGAAGATAAACATATAAACAAAGAAATTTTTCAAATCGCATTTCCCAATTGTGAAAACGTATCTATTTTGCAAAAACATGCACGAACATGAGCTTATTAAAAACTTGATTTTGTAAATTCAAATAATCATAACAAATTAATTTCAAAATTGCTAAAACTTTGAGAAACATTTATAAACATGAAATTGAACATGTTAGAAAAAGAATTTCTCAAATTAAATTTCCCATTTGTGAAAACTCATGTATTTTGCAAGTGTATCCAAAACATGAAAATGTGATATACATAAAATTTGATGTTACATAAACAATATTTTGAAACCCTATGAAATGATTTTATAGACTTAATGAAATATGTATACAATGATTGTTAAATCCATAAATCAAAACTTATGTATATATATAAGTATATATATAAAAACTAAATATGTGTGTGTATATATGATTGAACTTAAAGTACTAATACACATAATATAAAACCTAAACTAAATATAACCACGCTTGATTGATCTTCGATGTAGCTCAACTTGATACACTTGCGGATGAAGCTAGAACTTGGATCTTTAATTTGAATTGCATAGGCTTTACTCCATAATTCCGCCAACCTTCATTGGATATGATCGTGAATGCATAATTCCATCCATCCTCTAACTTGTTGTTTGTCTACAATAAATAAATAAACACAAATACTAGACAAATAACATTAGTGGTAAATTATTTGTTAAACATCATCAAAATAAAGAGATCAATAATCTCCCCCTTTTTGATGATGACAAATAATTTACAAAAAGGATATATGCATAAAAGAAAATGAATATACAATATTATAATTATCATGCATATAAACAAGAAAGGCTATACTCATAATATTTCTCCCCCTTTGACAACATCAAAAAGGGAAAAATCATAAAGAATAAAGAGAGTGAAAGCTCCCCCTATATATGAGCATGGGTGAGTATAAAACAAATATAGGGAATAGCTCCCCCTATCAAAATGTCATATAGAATATATGCAATAAAGATCATGACAAACAAATGAGCAAGCATAAATGCTAAACACAGCTCACATACAAAAGGATAATGAGAACACATATAAATATATCTATATGAAAAATAGTGCCGCATATCAAAGAACATAAAAGCCATGTATAAAAGTAGATTTATGAACTCAAAAGAAAAGGAACATGAGAATCATGTAAAATGTTTTCAAATGAAAACAAATCAACCAAATGAAATCATAAATCAAATTTAAAGCTCAAAAATGATGTTTGATCAATAAAAAAAATTTCTTTGAAGAACTTGATCAAACCACTCATAAAATACATTATAAAGCATATTTGAAATTTGAATCATCTATTTGTGCTTGTATAATGAATTCAAAAGAACAAATCAAAACAAATTTTTGACAAAAGAAATGCAAGAGAGGCAATAATATATCAAGCTCTTAAGCTTGTTTCAACCCATATAAGGAATTTTAGTACCCGATAAACAAGATTTGAGAATAAACACCCAATAAACCCGGAGGGTTATATAAACACAAACCTCTCATCAAAATCGAAACAAATAATCATGAAAACAAAAGATTTGATCAATTAAAAATTGTTTTCATATAAAAAGTTTAGAGCACGTTTTTCAAAACCAAGAAAAAGAAAAAGAAAAACACTAAAATTCTTGGTTTAAAAATCAAATTTGTTTTGGTACCTAAGAATTTTTGGTACCAAAAAGTTTAGGGACATGACCCCTATCATTTAAACTCAAATCCCTAGGGTTATGAACCCTCTTGGGCGCATGTGGTGCACGGACAGGGTCATAACAAAAATTACTCAAATGACCCTTCCGATTGCAATAAGTACAATGGAAAGGAGGCATTTGCTTATGTTGACCAAACGGTTATGCACAGTACTCATTTGCAAAAATAGGTTTATCTTGGAAATTATTTTACAAACGAGAAACTCTCCTCAAATCAAAACAAAATTTGGTCAAATGACCAAAACGACCACAATGATCACACTTAAACTTCTGTGGTCTTTTAAAATTATTTGGTAAAAGTAAAATCTTTTTCAAATCAAAGTAAAACTTTGCCAAATGGCCAAATCGACCACATAGATCACATTTAAACACATGTGCATGTTTATGATGAGCATGATGAGTTTGTGTATGTACATGTGCATGTGATGAAGAAGCCTTATGAGATGCACAAGAAGCATTAGTCTTAGAAGATTTGTGTGCATCATAGCAAAATTTAGCAATGTGGCCTTTACGACCACAAAATGAACATTTGTAAATTTTGCTATAAATATGTGCATAGTGAGTGTTGGATTTGAAAGAATTAACACGAGACTTTGCAC